GTTGGACCCTGATCATTGTAATTGACTAGAGTAAAGGTATATAACTGACAAAGCATCAGCTCTGCCCTACTCTTATGTTTTCAGTCAAGTCACTAAGGGCCTTTCCATGTTTGAGTAAGTTGAACCTAATTAACTTAATTGTCCAGGGTTGATTATGTACATCTCTGCCTCTGTCCATGTCAAATAGTAACTGCGATCTAACAGGGATGTTGTGAGGAATAATCATTGTATATTCAGTGCCCTGAAGATGTAAAGTGCCATGTTTATGGTAAATATTATTAAAAAAATAATTCTCTGTACTCTTGTGCTGCTGAGTTAATAGATACTTTTCTTTTTTTCTATCTTAGTGTATTTTTCCTTACTGTGCCAATGGACACGTTCTTCTGGTGTTGGCATTTGTTCTGGTTGTCCATTTTCACAGGCATTGTCCTGCAGCACCCTGCAAGGCCTAAAGTCTGCCCCAGTAATACTGCATGGTCATCTTGGTCTGGGGACAATGTAGGAACCTCTTGGTGCAGCTCCCAGGATCCATCTCTTCTTTGCAGGTGGCAGGGGTTGCACAAGGGCACCTTGGTGTCCTAGGATGGGTCTGTAGCCCCCAGGCATGTTAGAAATTGTTCATTACACAGACACACCCTTTTGGTACCCCCCATCCACTTGCCCTTTCCCACGTCTTGTCCTGTGATGGCTCCAGTGCTTACATAATCTGTCACTACCAAGTACAAAAGAACTCCGCTCTTAACTATGCAGTAGACTGTCCTATGTGACCATTTCTGCATCTGCAAGAACAGCTCATAGTGACTGTTACCAAGTGCCTCCATTGGTGTATGGTTTGGTCAATTTTGCAGCATGAAAAACCTCCAGGAGTTTCTGGGACAGCTGCTTCCTCCACCCAGCATATCAGTTAACAAAACACACAATTACGTGAAGGGGAAATCTTCAAGGCACTGAAAATCTGACCTGGAGAACTCTTCTGACAATTAGTCAAATAGTTTGTTGTACTGATGCCCTTGTCTCAAGTCAGCCTCATCTGGAATCAATGCGTTGCCTCATTAGTGTGGAGACCAGCTGGGGAGTTTCCGGGCTTCCCAGGGCATGAACGACATTAATCCCCTGGGTGCCCAGCGTGTAGCCAGCTACACTGCAATTTTAACTGGAGGATAAAGTTGACTTTCATCCTTGTATCTCAGTTATAACTTAATTGCTGTAGGTCTTGCCACAATACTAAGGTGCAGTTCTCATTACTGGTGGGTCTCTATGGCTAGAAGCCCATGTCCATCCCCCTTTGGTGAGGCAGTGCACCTGGACCACTGGGCATTTGCATCAAGCCGGGGGCACCTAGGGACAACACATGGTCTCCTCTTACTGGTGCCCAAGCCAGCAGAGTTGGCACACTCCCATGTGGCAGCAGTGTCCCTCAAGCTGGAGCAGTATCAGTGGGTGCTTTTAGCAGCACAGAAGGAACACAGGGGCTGATGCCATGGCCTCAGAAAACAAACAGCTTCACCACAACACCTGAAGCTGGCATTGAGGCGGACAAGTGACCCGAGCAAGCGCCAGAGCACTAGTGGCCCAAGGTGAGACTGCAGATGCAGCCTGTGTAAGGGCCCAACCCAAGTTCACCCGGGACTTCAAGCCAAAGTCATGGCCCGAGATAATGCCAGAGCTGAGGGAGCAGCCTGAGCAAGAACTAGAAGCAAAGCCTGGCTGGAGCTAAATTAAGAGCCTGAGATGGGTCTGGAGGCAAATGTGCCCAAATGAGGACCAGAGCCAAAGATATGACCCAATCAGGGGCAAGAACCAAAGTTTCAGCCCAAGCACTATTCAGAGCCAAAGTCACAGCTGAAGATGGGGTTGGAACCCAAAAAGCAGCCTGAGGTGGGGCCAGAACCAAAACTGCTGCCCAAGATGGGGCAGGAGGTGAAGTCTCATCCCAGTATCTTTACAAAGTCAAGGTTTTGTGCCAGTCAAAGCTAGTGCCAGTGCCAAAGCTGCAGCCCAAGTGTAAGCCCAAATTGCTCCCTGATATTGGGCAGAAACTAAACTCACAGCCCAGGGTAGCACTGGAGGAGAAATCAAGGACCAAGCAGGAGCCAGAGTAGTCATGAGAGCCCAAGCAGAGGCTGGAGTTGATGGCATGTCCCAATATCAGGTTGGAGACAATTTTGCAGACATAGAGGTAGCCAGAGCTGAAGTCACAGACCAATACAGGGCTGGGCCCTAAGTGGTGTCCCAGTATCAGGCCAGAGCAAAAGTCATGGCTGGAGCCAAAGTCACTATCCAGCTACAGCAGCCTCCTGTGCAGAGGACTGGAGCCAAAGTAACCTAACTGCAGCTGAAGTAACAGCCCAAGATGGTACCAGAGCTGAAGTTGCAGCCTCAGATGGGGATGGAGCCAAAGTCTCAACCTGAAATGGGGCTGCACCCAAAATTGGAACACTGGAGAGGAAGCCTGAGCAGCCTGGAGCCAAAAAGCAGGGCCCACAACTGGGCTAGAGCCAAAGTCACAGCACAAGGTGAGTCCAGAGTACGTGCTGCGATCTGAGCAGGGAACTGGTGCCAAAACTGGGCCCCCAAGATAGGAATGGAGTACATGTCACAATCTGAGCAGGGGCTAGATCTGAAATCACATCCTGAGATGGGGCTGGAGCCAGAGCCAACATCACAACTCAATATGTGGCTGGAGCCTAAGTTGTCGCTCAAGATGGGGCCAGAGCCAAAATCGCAGCCCAAGCAATGTTCAGAGCCAAAATTGCAGCTGAAGATGGGGCCAGAGTCAAAGTAATGGCCCAAACAGGGACTGAAGCAAAAAAATCACAGCCAAAAGAGCAGCTAGAGTTGCAGTAGCCACCTGAGCATGGACCAGATCCAAATTTGAGTTGGAGGCAAGCTGTGGCCCAAGATAGGGCAGGAGCTAAAGTCACAGACCAATATTGGGCCAGAGCTGAAATCATGACTGGAGATGCCATTAGAGATGAAGCCACAGACCAACATGGGGCTGGAGCCAAAGTCATGACCTCCTACCAAGCCCTGGCCAAAGCTGCACACCAAGTAGGCTCTGGAACTGAAGTAGTGACCCAGTATTAGGCCAGACCTGAGTCAGAGGCCTGAGATGGGTCTGGAGCTGAAATCAAGACCTGAAATTAGAATAGAGCTGCAGTCACATCTAGAGATGGGGCCAGAGCTGACGCCATGGCCCAAGATTTCAGCCAGAAGCAAACTAACAGCCCAAGATGTGTCAAAGGACAAATAACAACCCAAATAGGGGCCAGAGCCAAAGACATGGCCTGAGATTGGGCCAGAGCCAAAGAGGTGGCACAAATGGCACGACCGATGATGTTGCAGCTCAAGATGGAGTTGGAGTTGAAATCACAGCCTGATAATGGGGCTGGAACCAAACTTGTGGCTTGAAATGGGGCCAGAGCCAAAGCTGCAGCCCAAGGTGGGACTGGAGCTGAAATCATGACCCAAATAGGGGCAGGGATCAGAGCTGAAGCCCTGATCCAGTACTGAGCCAGAACCAAAGTTATGGCCTGATATTGGACAGGAGCTGAAGATGGGGCTCAAAAACAGCCACTATTGGTCTGACAGGGCTGGAGACAAGTTTCAGTCTAAGATGGGGCCAAGCAAAAATCTTGGTCCAATATTGGGCCAAGCAAAAATCTTGGTCCAATATTGGGCCAGAACCCCAGTAGCAGCCCAAGGTGGGCCAGAGCTGAACTTGTTGCCCAAGATAGAAGGGCAGGAGCTAAAGTCTCACTTGAACATCTTGACAAAGCTGAAGTCA